TAATTGAAATGGGTATATATTTGTTTTTTGTTAAGTTGCCTAATAATTATGCACAGTAATAGTCACCTGCACACACAGATATCCCCCTAACATAGCTAAAACTAAAAACAAACTAAAAACTACTTCCAAAAATATTCAGCTTTGATATTAATGAGTTTTTTGGGTTCATTGAGAACATGGTTGTTGTTCAATAATAAAATTAATCCTCAAAAATACAACTTGCCTAATAATTCTGCACTCCCTGTAGAGATGTTTCCACTGTGAGAACCGCATCAGACTCTTTACAATTCTCACACATCACCTCCTCTGACTGCTTCTTTATGAGCAGCATTGGATTGGACGAGAAGATAAAGAAACTGTGCTTGCGAAACGACATTGCAGGAAAAGATTTTTCTTCCTCCTATTTTTTATTAATTTTTTTGGACATTAATTTAGGGGGCGCTCCTAAATCAAAACAAGGAAGATAATAGTAAGCATTAGGAATACATATTTGTTTTCCTAACACTATAGTATTCCTTTAATAATATAAAGGTGAATCTGTCATCTGTTTTCTTTTGTAATATCTAGAAACAGAACAGATCTTCTTTAAGGCGAATCGTAGCATTTTTATTAATTAGAATGCTATAAAATCTGATGGAAACAATCTGTACTTAAAAGATGATGTAGATGTAAAAGGAATACACATGGAGTAGAATGAAGTCCATTTGTCGACTTGCAAATAGCTCCATGTCATTTTCCAAATACAAACTATATAATGGAGTCGTTTTCATATTCTAAAAGGCTGTCATATGTGATTCTTGTTTGATTGTAAGACAAGCTGACAAATGTCAGCTGGGGTCCGTTCTTTGTGGTTCAGTTTCTCTGAGAGAACATGAACCCCATAGGAGTTACATGTATAGAGATCAATTCTATGGCCAAGTTCTGAAAGTAATGTAATCAGCTGGGCCTGTCCACTGGTTTCCATTGAATATGTTGTAACCGCGGCTGGTTCCCTTATTTACCACTATAACGTCTTAAAGTATAGAACTTAGTAGGGCTAACCATACAGATATCTTAGCCATAATTTTATATAGTTAGTGTAAGAGATCCTCTATTTAACATATAAAAATAATTGAGAATACAATATAAAATAAGGATTGTCTTGGAAGCAATAAAGTTTTGTCTTTTAGATATTTATTATATAAAAATATAAATATAGACATATAAAATCCATTATAGCAGAATTTATAAGATTAAACTAAATGCTTGCAAATGTCATTAATAGGTTAACATACCCTTTTGAACATGTCATCATGTCAGCCTCTCTGTCATTTTAAGATGGAGCAACATCCATTTCCAAGTCTCTCCTCCATTTCTTAACATTTTAAAAGTACACCTATTTATACCTTCGGTGTCTTCATTTTAGGGTCAATGTAGTTCATATATGAAAAAGTACCACTTCTTTTACTTTATTCATTTTAGGACCTCCCTTAACTTGGCAAAACTACAAGTTCATACCTAAAGGGTGTATACGTCATGGAAATTTTCCTGACTTAGTTCAAGATGGCATCTTACAGTCTGAACATCTTTATCTACTTAGGGTTACCGCAGTATATTCTGTACTGAAAGAGTCATAGGATAGCCTTGAAGCTTGTTTATGTATTACTGTTATTGTAATTCGTCTGGGACAAAATGGCACAAACATATTATGCACTGAAGGTAGGAAAGAGGATATTGCTTAAAGAAACAGTTATGAAAAACAATATGTTCCATTTCTAACCCCTTGTCATTTTGTAATATCTCTTAAAGACAAAGTACACAGTTTAAGAAATACATTTCATTCTAAAACTTGAAATATTAACATTTGCCTATAACATGCACTTTTTTTTTTTTTTTTTTTACATTTTCCCAGGATTACTCTATATAAAACTATATAGTATTCTAAACCTTGTTTAATGAAATAAAAAAAAAAAAATACTATGTTTGGTAAAATTAATCACTGACTAGATATAAAGCTAAATAAAATTGAAATAGAACTGGAGAAATGACCTTAAAATTAGTTGTAGTAGTTGTAGTTGTTCCCAGATTGTCATTAAAAATCATATCAATAACGTACCTTTTCTATTAATGGTAATTACCTGCTCTTCAGTTGGGGCCAAAAACAGTTTGCAATACATCTGTTATGCTGAGATATCTGCCTGGCCAATCTAGATGTGCTTTTGTTGTAAGGGTGGACTTGTAGATGGGATGAGGGAAGTGTATAAATAATTCTGCAGTTTTTATATCCTGTTGGCAGTAAAAAAAATAAAGTTTAGTTGCTACTATTTTTTTTTTTGTCTCTTCCTTGAGGTCTCACAGGTAGATTGCTATTCCTTGTCCTCTATAGAGTAGTTACTCAAAGTATTGCCAAAGGAATGGATAGGATATCATATAGTAACTGGAGATATCAGGGTAGTATATCCTGCATTACTCATAGATACAGCACATGGCACTTCGTCTAGCGATCAGCTGTGCAAGTTAACGCAGGTACCGATGGACAGTATTAGTCCTGCATTGTTGCGCATGCATATCATATCATCACATATAGTAAGAACACTTTTGAATTTAATAATTGCTACATATTATTGTGCAGGTGTTAACTCAAGGTCAGATATACCTCATGTAGTGGGTTCTTGGGTTTATAACCTACATTGGCCTTAAAGCAGTTTATTCAAAGTTGTTATTGACACATTAACATATCACTGAATCGACCTTCAGAATTGCAGAGGGAACTTAAACTGCAATACCAGCAACTTGGATTGCCCTGTTTTCTGGCCTTGAAGCTTAAATGATAGAATGAAGTTGTACTTCTTATTCTCTTAACAATATATGAAAACATTACAGAAAGGTGCAGAGAAATTATCATTCAATGCCGACATACAATATCTGTTCATTTAATTTTAATAGATAAGAAGTATTACCACCATGGATACATGTTAAATATAATAATTAAAATCTGTCACAGGTCTAAAGTGATGTACAGTTGTGCTCAAAAGTTTGCATACCCTGGCAGAAATTTTGGCATTGATTTTGAAAATAACTGGTCATGCAAAAAAAATATATATATATATTTTATTAAAGGGTAGTGATCATATGAAGCCATTTATTATCACAGATGTTTGGCTCCTTTTTACATCATAATGATAACATAAATCACTCAAATGGCCCTGATTAAAAGTTTACATACCCTTGCATGTTTGGCCTTGTTAAAGACACACAACGTGACACACACAGGTTAAAATGTCAATTCAAATGTTAATTTCCCACACCTGTGGCTATTTAAATTGCAATTAGTGTCTGTGTGTTAATAGTCAATGAGTTTATTAGCTCTCACGTGGATGCACTGAGCAGGCTAGATACTGAGCCATGGGGAGCAGAAAAGAATTGTCAAAAGACCTGCATAACAAGGTAATGGAACTTTATAACCTCTTAAGGACGGAGCCAAATGTACACGTTGTGAACAAAACAAAACCTGGCATTTGCGCTACATGTCTGTCCAATCGTAATTCACCTCTTTCATATTAAATACACCCACCCTTATTATATATATATATATATATATATATATATATATATATATAAAATTTTATTCAGGGGAAACAGGGCTTTCATTTAATATCAAATATTTAGCTATGAAACATAATTTAATATGAAAAAAATGGGAGAAAATAAGATTTTTTTCTGATTTTCTTAGTTCTACATGACATTTTAACGGTCAGTGTCATAATACTGTTTGCTTTTACTTCAATAAAATACACATATTTGTATTCAGCAAAGTCTCACGTGTAAGACAGTACCCCCTATGTACAGGTTTTATGGCGTTTTGGGAAGTTACAGGGTCAAATATAGCACGTTACATTTGAAATTGAAATTCGCCAGATTGGTTATGTTGCCTTTGGGACTTTATAGTAGCCCAGGAAAGAAATTTACACCTATAATGGCATATCATTTGCAATAGTAGACAACCCAAGGTATTGCAAATGGGGTATGTCCAGTCTTTTTTAGTAGCCATATGGTCACAAACACTAGCCAAAGTTAGCATTAGTATTTGTTTGTGTGTGAAAAATGCAAAAAAACGCCAGTTTTGGCCAGTGTTTGTGACTAAGTGGCTAGTAAAAAAGACTGGACATACCCCGCTTGCAATACCTTGGGTTGTCTACTATTGCAAATAGTATGCCATCATAGGGGTAATTTTCATTCTTGGGCTACCATAGGGTCTCAAAGGCAACGTAACCAATCTGGCAAATTTTAATGTGAAAAAAATGAAACACAAGCCTTATATTTGACGCTGTAACTTTTGAAAACACCATAAAACCTGTACATGAGGGGTACTGTTGTACTTGGGAGACTTCGCTGAACACAAATAATTGTGTTTTAAAACAGTAAAAAGTATCGCAGCAATAATATCGTCCATGTAAGTGCTGTTTGTGCGTGAAAAATGCAAAAAACGTCACTTTTACTGGCGATGATATCTTTGTAATACATTTTACTGTTTTGAAACACTAATATTAGTGTTCAGCGAAATCTCCCTAGTAGAACAGTACCCCCCATGTACAGGTTTTATGGTGTCTTAATTGTAATTAATTAAGATACCTAATTATGTAAAAATATTACATAAATATATATGTAGAATTAATATATGTGTGTATATATATATATATATAATTTAAAAAATATATTTTTATTTATATATCGTGATATATACGTATGTATTTATGTATATAGATATATATATATTATTTAGTTCTACGTGTATTTTGATATAAAAATATATTATCACAATACAGTTAGAACGAAATAACACACATCTATATATTTTTAATTTTTTTTTTAATTATTTGTTTAATTTTATTTTTTAACGTTTTTACATTTTAATTTTTTTTATATTATATTAAAAAAAAAATATATATATATATAACAATAATTATATATATTTAATCAATATCAGTCTACGTGTAATTTGATATTAATATATATATAGTAAAATACACCTAGACAGTGTATGTGTGTGTGTGTGTGTGTGTGTGTGTGTGTATATATATACATACACACACACACACACACACACACACTTAGATCATATAATATATCTATATAATGATCATATAATGATCTAAGTATATATATTTATTTTTTTACACTTTTTAACTTTTTATAATTTTATTTAATTTTATTTCAAGCCAGCAGGGGGACCACCTGTCATTACAGGCAGCACCCCTGCTGGCAATGCAGGAGGCAGCTATCCGGGCATGTGATTGTGAGGTCCTCGCAAGGACCTAACTCTCACATGGCCTGGGGGGCTGCCAGGGGGTCAGACGTGCTGCGGGGGGGGCTCCCTGGGAGTCCCCCCAACTGCGATCGCCAGCGTGGGATCGCCGGCGACCGGGTAAGTAAAGAAAGACCGGAAGGCGTTCTATTACGCCGGGCGCCATATAGAGCCGCCTAAAATAGGGCGTAATAGTACGCCCTCCGGTCTTAAGGGATTAAAGATGCAAAAGGATATAAAAAGATATCCAAAGCCTTAAAAATGCCCGTCAGTACTGTTAAATCACTTATTAAGAAGTGCAAAATTTGGGAATCTCTTGATTTCAGCTACAACGGCCAGAAGAATTGTTTGAGAAACAAAGAAAAACCCACAGGTAACCTCAGGAGAAATACAGGCTGCTTTGGAAAAAGACGGTGTGGTTGTTTCAAGGAGCACAATACGACGATACTTGAAAAAAAAAAAAAGAGCTGCATGGTCTAGTTTCCAGAAAGAAGCCTTTACTGCACCAATGCCACAAAAAAGCCCAGTTACAATATGTCAGACAATAACTTGACACGCCTCACAGCTTCTGGCATACTGTAATTAAGAGTGACGATACCTAAAGGGGATCCTCTGTGGTTGGGGTCCACGCTCTAGCGGCTAGCAGAACCAGTCAAGGACCTCAATTGGTGGCAGCTCCAGGCATTGTTGGAAGCATGGAACCTCCCCCGGCCAGCGGGCTGCAACCCACTTGTTGCGGTATTTCACTTGAATGCTGAATGGGAAACCTCATTTGTAGTGGATATTCCTCTCTCGTAAGGCGGCTATCACTGGTCTGAATGGCCGTCGTGCCTCTAATGTAACAGGCGTGAGGTTGTTGTAGATAGCAACATCGGCTTCCTGGAATCTATTAACCTTTAGTTAATAGGAGTGGAGGCTGCATATTAGGTCGCAGTGTCTCCCTCCCGGACCCTATATCTCAAGGCCAGGCTCTCTAAAATCCACAGGACCATCGTCACCAAGGATCAGGCAGAAAATCCTGGTCAGCACCTTCTCCACATTCTCCTCTCCATCCGACTCAGGCACCCTGATGTTGGAGTGGCGACTGCTACTGTTGAGGTCCTCTACCTGGTGGTGCACCTCAAATAACATGCCACCTTGTCTTACAATGGCTTTGTCAGAGGAGGCAGCCTGGTGCTGTGTGGCCTGGGTTTCAAGTGCTCAGGCTGGGACTCCCCGCGCATCCATGTCAGACTGTAATGCTGCCACTGTCGGTGTGAAGGATTCTGTCAGTATTGCAGAGAGCATTTGCAGGTCCTCTTTTGTGACCATTGATGCCGCCATCCATCGGATCTCTGCTTTGATATCTGCAAGCGTGGGCTGCTCCGGTTCAGAGGTAATCAAGGAGGGTGACATGGGCGCCATCTTGGAGCCTTGCGCCTCGCGGCTAGGCCCCAGCAGGGTTTGGAGGAAGTCATCCATGGGTCCCATCTGACGAGGGGGCAACCCTGGGAATCTGCAGGAGCAGACTTTAAATCGGACAAATCTGAGGCATCTTACAAAAGAAATAAGGAAGTACATACATTCTAAGAAAACAAAAAAATGAAAAAACTGGGATGGAGGAGTTAGTTAATTTTAAATAACTATTTCTCTTTAGTATATATATTAAGAACATATGGCAATAGATATGCAAATAATTGCTGCAAATAACTTGCACAAAAAATGGAATTGGATGACTCAAGACAAGATGCTACAGCAATTAAAGACATTAAATATATACAAAGCTCCAGGGCCTGATGGTATTCATTCACGAGTACATAAAGAACCAAGTGTGAACCTCTGGTTTTAATATTTCAAGATTCTTTTCTTTCAGGAAGTGTACTGGAGGATTGGAGGAAGGCTGATGTGGTTCCTATATTCAAAAAGGGTTCAAAATCCTTGCCTGGAAATTATAGACCTGTGAGCTTAACTACTGTGGTTGGGAAAGTATTTGAAAGGCTATTAAGGGATAACATTCAATAAATCCTTGAGAAGAACACGGTTATCAGCAAAAATCTGCATTGTTTTATGAATCACAGGTCATGTCAAACTAACTTGACTGCATTCTATGAAGAAGTAAGTATAGTTTAAGGTGTTGCAGTGTATGTGATCTATTTGGATTTTGCCAAAGCGTTTGATACAGTTACACACAATAGATTAGTGTTCAGACTTAAAGAAATTGGTCTAGATGAAAATTCTTGTTCTTGGATAGAGCATTGCCTTAAAAATAGAGTACAGAGAGTTGTCATTAATGGTAAATTTTCAAGCTGTGCAGAGGTGGTAAATGGTGTCCCACAAGGTTCTGTACTGGGACCCCTTCTATTTAATATGTTTATAAATGTTCTTGAAAAAGCATTGAAAGTCATGTTTGCAAATGACACAAAACTCTGTAAAGTAATACAATGTGAGCAAGATATTACCTTGCTGCAGGGGGATTTAGATACACTGGGGGACTGGGCACTCAAATGGCAGTTGAAATTTAATGTAAAAAAATGCAAAGCGTAAAGAATGCACAGGCAACATAGCCTAAATGAAAGTACACTACACAAGAGAAGGATTTGGGAATGGTTATAAACAACAAACTACGCAACAATGTGCAATGTCAATCAGCAGTGGCTAAGGCCACTAAGGTACTGTCATGCATGAAAAAGGCATTAATTCTCGGGATGAGAGTATCATTTTGCTTCTTTGTAAATCATTGATAAGACCACTTCTTGCATATGCTGTGCAATTTTGGGCACCTGTTTTGAAGAATATTATGGCACTAGAAAAAGTGAAAAATTTATAAATGGAATGGAACATTTTATCTTTGAAGAAAGGTTAACAAATTGAAACCTCTTTACTTTAGGGGGCGGAGCCAAGACCTTTAGCTGAGCCGATGCATACCACACGAGCTCCTGCTGAGTTTGGCAATAATCTGGGCATACCCCCAAATAGAGCACATATCCTGGGACCACTGCACCCTACTTTATTTGGGGACGTGGTACTGACTCCACAGACCCCTCACTCACGCTCTCAGGCCATCGGGAGACTGTAGAGGTGCGTCGCGGCCTGCAGGCGACCGGGCTGGGGGAAGGCGGCTGATTTTCCTGCTTTGCTGTTGCTGCGCAGATCAGCTTTATTCCTCCCCCCTCCCACCCTCTCCGGACTGGCAGGGGTTATCCCAGTCCCAACTGGACTATCTTGATCAACTCCCTTGTTCTAATGGACGGCAAGCAATACCTACCTGAACCCAACAGCAGGTCTCAAAATGGAGGATGGGACTACTCCGGTGGAGCCGACTCTACTGCAAATCCACGGAATTCTCCAGGCTCCAAAAGCAAACCTCATGATAAGACTGGAAGCACTTCTCACCAGCTTCTGGGCTAAACTGGAGGAGTGAAGTGCTGCTTCATCTATACCACACAAGCACGTGGGCTGGCAAAACGAAGCACAGAGGTCGGGTGAGCTCCCTCTTAGTTTGCAGACGCTACCAGCCATCCAAGCTCCTGTACAGCTCCCATGCCTGAAGCATGGAAGACAAAGGGTCCCTCAGCTGAAACAACCTCGCAGAACGCATGCCCCTGTGCCTCGACACCATACTTCTATTTGGCGCACCAAAGGGAGCCATACCAATCAGCACAACCGACACCATCAGAGGGTTCCCGCTAAACAAGGCCTAGGGCGTGCAATGAGGCAATCGTGGAGCACCTCCCCTGACGCAGGACGACGCATGATTCACGGAGATGTGAAGCGAGAGCTCCATAACCCATGGAACAGATGGAGTGCTCTGCTGTGCTTTGATATACTCCTGCTCCTACGGGATACAGGCCTTCCATTCACGGGCATTGGATGAGGGGGCTTGAGATAACAAAGCAGTCACCACAGAGCCATATGAACTCTCCCAGTTTAATTTCTGTTTTGTCTTATATTGATTGTGTACTAGGCTGTGTCTCCTATTTACACACATTTTTCTAATATGTAAGTGCTTCACTCTAGCCTAGGGGATAGTTAACCCAACCTGTTTAGTGGAATCGTTCTCATGTTACCTACTACAGTTCTATGAAATAGCACTTCTCATACTCTCTCTCTTCAACCTCATAGAATTGATTCATGGTGTCTCTCCTCACAAATGCAGTGTTACTTATGATGCACCAGGCAAACTCTGGTTAAAAAAAAAATTTCCGCTCATGTTATGCTTACCTGTTTCCTCTTATTATATATTTTTTTAAATGTGCTGCTCCTACAATTGCCATACTAATGTTTCTAACTATATGTTGGTATCATGCTTGCCCATGCTTTTGTGGCAATACAAGCCTATTTGTAATCACTTGCACAACAAAAGTAAAGAATTGTAAAAAATAAAATGAAAAAAATAAAACCTCTTTAGTTTAGAAAAACGTGTCCTCAGAGGGGTTATGATAATATTATACAAATATATCCGGGGCCAATACAAGCCATTGTGTGAAAATCTATTCACAAACAGGACTATACATAGGACACGAGGTCATGTGTTTAGACTGGAAGAAAGACGATTTAGTCTAAGGCAAAGGAAAGGTTGTTTTTTTAACGATGATAACAAGGATGTGGAATTCTCTGCTGAAGGAAGTAGTTTTATCAGAATCTGTACAGATGTTTAAACACCAACTAGTTGCATACTTGCAAAAACGTAATATTCAATTATATCATTGTTCAACTGTAGGGTAATAGCTTCTTGATCCAAGGATAAATCTGTCTACCATTCTGGGGTCAATAGGGAATTTTTTTTCCTAGTTTGTTGCAAAATTGGAAAACAAATGTGAGGAAGGCTGAACTTGATGGACACATATCTCTTTTCAGCCTATGTAACTATATGTGCTTTTACAACAATAAAGCAATGCATCGGGGGCAGTGGCGTAGCTAAAGTTTTTGCTGCCCGGGGCTGTCACTGAGTTTGCCACCCCTATCTCAACCCAAATGCAAAATGCTAAATCTTTTCCATCATAAACTGAATCATTGAATAAGTTGCCATACAATTGTCAGTTTTACCAATAAAGTGGCTATGTACTGTATTATTATTGGTGAAACTGACAATTGTATTGGCACTTATTGAATTAAAAAAATATTTTGTTTGGGAAAAGATTTTCTATTTGCACTTTGGTGCAAGGAGAGAAGGGATCTGTGAAGGGAGAGAGAGGGGACCTGATCAAGGAGGAAGGGGATCTGTTAAGGGGGAGAGAGAGGACCTGGGGAGGGAGGGGGTCTGTGAAGGGGGAGAGAGGACACCTGAGCAGGAAGGGAGGGGGTCTGTGAAGGGGGAGACAGGGGCTCTGAGCAGGGAGGGGGGCTGAGAGGGTGCAGGGAGGGGGCGGTGAGGGTGCAGGGAGGGGGGGGCTCTGCAGGAAACATACCTGGTGACTCTACCAGCACTCCACAGGAAAGGAGGAGAGCACAGGAAGAGACCTCACTTTCCATCCTCCCACCCTGCCTCTTTCCCTCTCTCTATGCACTGCACGGAGGAAACCTGGCAAGCAGAGCAGGATCACTGCCAGGTCTCACTCAGAAGGTGGGAGGAGGGTCAGTATGGGAGGGAGTAGGGACATTGCCGCCCCCTAAAAAGTGCCGTCCTGGGTGGACCCTCTCCCACTTGCTACGCCACTGATCAGGGGAGATGTAGTCCACAATATCTGGAGTGGCGAAGGTTGCCTACCCATGGCCTATAGTGTGATATGCACAGCAGTATGCTTTCTTAACAATCTATCTACCCCATGGTGTGAGGATGTAACACTTCAATAAAACTGGTATCATCTGAAAACAAGCGTCATGGCAGTAGTATGAGCCATATTTTGAAATCATTTAATGCAACTACTAAACATTTGCAGAGTTCAAATAGAGAAATTGCATATCTAAAAAAAAATGGCTAGATGCCAGTATAACGAGTACAGATGATATAGAAGATTCTGTTGCTTATAAATGTGTGTGCATTTGTCTATATAGAATATTCTATTTATTGATATACCTAATAATATTAAAGGACCACTCTAGGCACCCAGACCACTTCAGCTTAATGAAGTGGTCTGGATGCCAGGTCCCTCTAGGATTAAACCTTTTTTTTTTTTTTATAAACATAGCAGTTTCAGAGAAACTGCTATGTTTATAAATGGGTTAATCCAGCCTCTAAAGCCTCTAATGGCTGTCTCATTGACTGCCGCTTGAGGCGTTTGAGTGCTTCTCACTGTGAAAATCACAGTGAGAAGATGCCAGCGTCCATAGGAAATGAGACTGGCTGAATGCGCGCGCAGCTCCATTCAGCTGAAGAGGAGGATCGGAGGAGAGGAGCAGGAGAGCTAGTTAAGGTAAGATTTAACCCCTTCCTCTCCCCAGTGCCCGGCGAGTATGTTTTCCTGGCACTATAGTGGTCCTTTAAGTAAGGCACAGAATTACATCACAATTGTATTAAACAGCTGTCAGATTGAAGATGATTTGCCCTAAAGTAGATGTAGCTTTGCCAGTTTAGCTTTTGTTCTCAAAGGTGCTATTTGCTCTGGAGTTATCTCTGCCTAATGATGGTAAAATGTATGGTCATTATTAGATCAAGAAAGATTGAGCAGTTACATGTGACTTGCCATCTAGTCTGAACATTTAAACCTTGTGTAGTATGGGATAGTTAGTCAGCTTGCCAAAGAGAAACAAAATAAAAAATATCTTCAATTTTATAGTTTAGCAATACTGATATAAAAGACAAAAACACAGTCTTATATGTAATAAAAGTTTGAAGGACCACTCGGAGCTCCTTCTAACATGGTGTCTAATGGTTGCTACTGCCTGTCACCACTACAACTTAGCTCTGCACTTTGTGGCTTAGCTCAGGAGAGCTAACAGAAGCACCTAAGCAGGGAGCCTTGATTTTATATTTTTGGATAAACTTTTTAAAAGATTTATCTACAAAACGTTCCATAGATTTTATTGGTGACTTCTGTATATACATTATTTGAAAATGTATCAAAAATATTAAATAATTTGAAAAGCTTATCCAACAAAATATTAGATCAAGCCCACAGTTTGACTTCTCACAATGGGGGAAAGGGAGTGCACCATAACCACAACAGTGTATTGTGGAGGTTATAATGTTTGGAGTGTTTCTTTAAGTTACACTAACATCAGTACATAAATAAAAACAAATATTCAAAAATATGATTTGAAAGTTAATAGTTAATTACTCATGAGTTGATTTTTTTGAGTATTTTTAGGATGTCAGTCCAGAGCCTGGATCCCATGTTATACACAAAATAACTGTGCAAATGCCTGAAGGTCAATGGTATTTAAAAAAGAAATTCAAAAGTAAACAGTTTTCACAGCCAATTTACGCAAAAATATTATCTTTAACTTTTTGTCTTGGTCAATGAAAACAATCACATGGCATAACAGAAGGAGGCGCAAAAATGTAAAACTGGTAAACTGGTAAAGATGATTTTTTTTTTTCTGTTACCAATGTGCCAAAGATTGTAAATTAATAAAAGAGTAATTTCTGCAGAGAAGAAAATTTTATATAGGAATATGGTAAACAGAGGAGAGATGGGATGCAAAATAGTTACCCTGAAGGCAGCAAAGTAGACAAGTCTATTTCTACAGCTGCCAATAGTACAGGAATCAACATTAAAAACAGTTTCTCACAACATTTCAACCCTCTGAGGCTTTTACTAGATAAAAAGTGAGCAGATATGCGTCTCTTCATTAAACCGAGAGAAGAATGATATCATTATAGACCAGATAGAAATAGATGGAGATTCTGAGGGGAAATGCTAAAATGAGAGGATAGATGACAGCAATGAGAAGGGGAAAGTTGAATCGTATGAACATTAAAGGATTATGATGTCAGTTAGAAGCAGAAATAAGGGTGAGACGGAGTGTGAAAGAAAGTGAAGCTGTCATATTGTACGGCTGCCTTCCAGTCAGAATTCCATACATTATATATAGCTTTCATGAACAATATTATAACATACATGGTGTATCTGCAAAAGGAACAAAGGAAAACAATAGGAAAAGCAATTCATTTGTTACAAATTATTACAGGTGTTAATTTTACAGTTATAAGGCCTTTGGTAGTCCAGCTCCTCTGGAGTGCAACAACTCTAACTCTGGAGTCCTATTGGCTGAGCTGAGAATTTAAACGTTACTGGGGTAAGTTAAATGCAGAGAAGGATTAAGACCACAAGGCAACCTAAAATCAGGTTATCCATTTGTGTCCCCCCTCTTATTTTTCACAAACGGATGGTCAATAAGCAAGGCAAATTCATGGTTCCAAGACCCCCATCTAACCCATGGGCTCTGAGCAGCTGCCTAGGATCGCTTTATGGTTAATCTGTTCTGGTTGAATGTAAAATCACAAATATAATATTCTTATGTACAACATTAGCAAGTTAAAGGTGGATTCATGAAGAAAGATATGTTTAGCTGATTATATTTAAATGCACATGCGTGAGGTATGTAGCAATTAATGTATTGGCACAACCTACTGGAGCTGGATGGATGGATAGGTGGATAGATGATAGAAATAGAGACCGACAGAAATGTACTATATAATATTTACATATTAACTGTACTGATAAACAACACAGCTTTGTCTCAGCACAGCAAAAGACTTTAAAGAACATAGTATAGATATATCAGACACATTGTAAGAAATGAAGATGTTTACTGTATTTAATTATTAATGAATGCATACTTTTGTTGTTTATTGGGAACATGAACACATTAAGGTGTTTGGGCAAGAACATGATGATGGGAGCCATGATCAGTTCTCAGATCAAGGACAGCTGGACCAGTGCCATATGCAAGGTAGCTTATGGAGGACACTATCAACCCTTAATGCTGGACACTATAATTTTACTGTATTTTAACTATTTGTATATATTTGATTCAATGTATCTTTAATCTCCGTTTTCTTTTTTGTTTGTCATTTTAACATGCCTGGGCATGCTTGTTTTTTAATATATGTATGTATGTATGTATATATATATATATATATGTGTGTGTGTATTTACAGTTGTGGGTGTGTATGTGTACTTGTTTATTTAAACATATATTTTACTTTGTCTTGCCCTGCATGCTAAAGCTAGTTGTTCCCAGCCCCACTCAACATTGTTGGCTTGTTAACTTAAATGTTAATTCACCTATGTGTTTATCTCTAAAGACTTTCTCTGTTATTTCTGCATCCCCCCTTTATTTTATTGATACCCACCCAAATGTCTTGCTTGGCCAGTCCTCACCTCCTCTGTGCATCTTTATTCCATAGCTTTATTGCAGGCCTTTTTGACCCCATCATCTCTGTCTTCCACAGTCCGCGTTAATAAAAATCCTTGTTGGAAACCAGAACAGTTCTCAGTTGCCCATCCAAGCTCTTTATTACATTTATAGATAGAATCTCACATACAATTTTCGATAATTAGAAATGACAGCTGCAAACACTACCTGCAATCAGAACACTCCTACACTCCCTTAACCCCTAACACTCCTCATTCTCCTTACTTTTGCCCATTCTGCTTTTCTCAAAGTACTTACTCATCTGAGCAATGCTCTATCTTCTCCACTTTTCCTTTTCTCTCCTCTCCCTCTGCATCAAAATATCCCCTTACACCCACTTCCCTCAAAAACACAATCACATCCACATTAATCCATCTCTGCTACACATCCCTTCTCTCATCATCCCTGCACTCATTTCTCTATTCTTTCTCTCCTGCTCCCACCCAATCTCATCCTAGACCCTGCCCATAGAAAACCAGTTCACACCTCCTCTCTCTATCTCTCCTCCTACTTCTAGCAGCTGGTGACATCTCTCCCAGCCCAAGGCCCTTTACCTTGTCTGCTCACAGTAGAACAACTAGAAACCACACAAACCTCACTCACTCACTGAGACCTGGCTTTCCCCCTTTGATACCGCTACTCCAGCTTCTTTATGTTTCGGTGGACTACAATTCTCCTACACTCCCAGACTCAACTGTAAAGGCGGCAGTGTAGGCATCTTTCTCTCCCCTCAATGTACCTTTTAAAATATCCTTTCTGCCCCTGCCCTATCCTTTACTTCCTTTGAAGTTAACACTGTCTGCATATTTAAGCCGTTTAAGAATTGCCATCATCTATCGCCCCCCCCCCCCGGTCATCCGAGGCTATTCGTTGAACACTTTTCTTCCTGGCTACCCCACTTTTTCTCCTCTAGCACTCTTTCCCTCATACTTGGGGACTTTAACATCCCAAACAACAACCTCAACTGCCCTGATGCCTCCCGTCTGCTCTCTGTAACCTTCTTTTTTGGCCTCACACAGTGCTCTACTTCAGCAACTCATACAACAGGTAACACTCTTGACCTCATCTTCACCAATCTCTGTACTACCTATAATCTCTCCAATGTCCCATTTCCTCTATCTGACCACCATCTGCTGACCTTTCACATCGGCATACCCCGTATCCAAATTTCACCACCCTCAACTCACCAATCTTGCAGAAACCTCCACCTTCTTGATCTCCAGCATTTCTCCACCACACTTTCCTTTTACCCATCTCAAATCTCACCTGCCCTAACTCTGCAACCTCACTCTACAACTCCACTCTCTCCTCTTAACTAGACCTCACTCTGCACCTGACTTCCTCCACTATAAATCCACTATAAATTTATGCTGCTCTCCTACACTCTGACTCTTTCCTCTGTAAAAGAAAATTACTTCAACACCCTCATAAGCACACTGTCCTGCCAACCCATATGCCTATTTCACACTCTTAATGCTCTCCTTCGCCCTGTTGCTCCCCCTCCTCCTACCACCCTGTCCGCCTTAAACTTTGCAACTCACTTCACTGAGAAGATTTCTACATTCTCTAACCTCTCTTCCTCCCCTTCCAATACATCTTCTAATACATCACCCAACCCCACTCACTCCACTGTTCTATGATCATTCGCAGCTACTACAAGGGAAGAGGTTTTTGCACTGCTCCGGTGCTGCGAGATTGACAGACTTCCTCGAATCCAACTCTTTGCTTGACTCGCTCCAGTCTGGATTCTGCGCTCATGACTCTATTGAACCAGCTGTGACCAAACTATCCAATGATTTAATCACTGCAAAATCTTGCGGCCATTACTCTATCCTAATTCTCCTTGATCATTCTGCTGCCTTTGACACTGTTGATCATCAACAGCTTCTTCTCATTCTCTGTAATCTCGTCTACAAGATAATGCTCTCCTGGTGCTCCTCCTACCTACCACGTTTTCAGTGTTTCTTTCTCTGGCTCTGCCTCTTCTCCCCAAGCCCTGTTGGCATTCCTCAAAGTTCTGTCCTTAGTCTCCTTCTGTTCTTCATCTAAACTGCCTCCCTTGGTAAACTCATGAGCTCGTTTGGCTCATTATCATTTATATGCAGATGACACGCAAATCTTCCTGTCCTCTCCTGATCTCTCTCTGCCCATCTTGACTCGTGTCTCTGACTGCCTCTCCATGATTTCCAACTGGATGGCTGCTCACTTCCTTAAACTCAACCTGTCCAAAACAGAACTCCTGGTCTTTCCTCCCTCAAGTGTTGCTACTTCTGTGTCTGTCTCCCTCCAAGTCAACGGCGCCACCATCACCTCTATATCACAGGCTCGCTGCTTAGGTGTTCTTTTTGACTCCAACATCTCCTTGGAGAGGCTCATTTTAATGTCCGGCGAGGCTCATTTTAATGTCCGCCCGCACCTCCCACGCCTCCCCCCTCTGTCAGTCCCTACATTGGCTTCCAGTTAGATATAGGACTCAATTTAAGATTCTGGTGTTTGCTTACAAGTCCCTACATAATGCTGCTCCAACCCACCTAATACACAAGTGTGTCCCGTTGAAGGCCCTGCGCTCTGACGAAGACCTACGTCTATCCTCTGTCCGTACTTCCACATCTGATGCTCGCCTCCAAGACTTCTCCAGGGCTGCACCTTTTCTGTGGAACTCCCTTCCCTTCTCCGTTAGACTTTCACCCAGTTTCCACACCTTCAAAAAAATTTTTGAAAGCACACTTCTTCAGGAAAGCATATCATTTAAACTGTTTTTAAGCGGGTTTTCATTCCTCCCCCCTATGACTCCTCTCCTGCAACTGTCAAAAATTATCTAAGTTCTCAGTGAATACTTTTCTAGCAAGCTATATCATTACCCCTACTTATACCTTTTGTGTCACTATACCCTACTCCCTCTAACATGTAAGCTCATTGAGCAGGGCCCTCAACCCTCTGTTCCTGTGCATCCATTTGTCTGGTTACAATTACGTGTCTGTTAGTCCATTCATTGTACAGCGCTACAGAATTTGCTGGCACTATATAAATAATAAAATAATAATAATAATACAGTGCTGCTGCCCACCCCATGTGTACCTATGTGTTCCTGAATAGAGGTTAATAAGTATGTAGGGGTTTAAAAAAATATCCATTTTTGTCTCACTAGACAATTTACCTTTTTAGCAAGGTGAATTGTTAGTGTAGCACTCCCCTAAAAGATTTTGCCGTGATGTGGCAGGTGGGCTTACACTTGAATGACCAGGTCATCCATCCTTTCAAGCCAGCAATCATTGAGACACTCAGGACCAAAACCATAGGCTTGAGAACGGTTGTGCTGTGTGACCTGTGCTTACCCTTTTGTACAGAGCTATGGAATCTGATGGCGCTATATAAATAATAAAATAATATTAAAAAAATAATATGTGCACTTTTGCATAAGTTCGGGTTAGCTTGTATGTTTTTTGAAGAAAAAAAAATCACGACTGTTTTTGTAACTAATTGTTTCACTTTTTTTTTTTAATTACCATTTTGTAAGTACAGTTTAGATGGTATTTTTCTCTAGGTGAACACCCTAATTCAGGGGCAAGCAACCTTCGGCACTCCTGATGTTGTAGACTACATCTTCCACGATGCTTTGCCAGCATAAACCCTGTTAGAGCATTATGTCTGTAGTGCTGAAGGTTACCTACTCCTGTCCTAATGTTATGCAATCTATAACCAAGAGTCTACCGTTGGACTACAATTTTCTACATTCCAATTTTTCTCGAATGTGTTCAGTGTGTGTCAACCAGGAGTTAATGATTTCGTTTTAAAACCTGCTATTCGATATATGTACAGTGGTTTTTCTAGTCCTGAACCATTCAAATTAGTATATCAGTCCAAGTCACAGAGGAGGAGGAGAACATAATCAAAGAAAGAAAAATCTTCCTGAAACCATGTGAGTTCTTTACATAGATCTGTGTGGATGATTGAACAAGACATTCAGTGATCAGCCTCTGCTGTGCCTGAGAGCAGTCACTGTCTGTAGAAATAAAACAGTCCCATCTGCACCTTGCATGGAGTACAGGGATCCAGTGCTCTCTTCTCATCCTGACCTGAGCTATGATTGCAGGTTCTGAACATCTTCCAACCTGGGAACTCTGACCTCTGCCCATATTCCATAGTGCCTCTCACGGTTTGACAGGGACATTCCACAGCCATATTCCAGGACTATTTACAGGTAAGCAGATGTGATTGTAAATCCCTAGGAAGGGGCAGGTTTAGGTGAACACCTGTCTGTGTGGCATATTGGGAAAGCTACTGTGATATATTAATGTCATGGTTACTGTATTTCAGTACAGAACCTTTATTAACATACTCATTATTAGAAATAGTTCGTTTTTTGTTTTTTTAATGAGTAAATATTTCCAAAGAAATATTAAACAACATTAAAATAAGCAGACACTGCTGTTGATGGTAAATGTTAAAATGTATATTATGTTCAGCTGGTAATAACATGTAAAACCTGTTTAGCTATGTTTACACATGATATAAATGACCTTTTTGATAGTTGAGTTTTTAATAATTTTTCATGTTCACCAGTGTTACTATAGCTGGAAAGCATCTTGGATTGAAGCTCTATTTAGGTCTGGATACTCAATGTTTATACATCATGCTTAGAGCTGCACTAATCAACAGCGCTAAAGTCTATTGAGTAGTAACAGCTAATAGTGTTTGACCTGTCTGTATATTTGAGAAGGAAAAGCAAGTACATTAACAATTTTTTTGTCTTGTGCGTGCAATTGTTAACAGAAACACTGCAATATAAATAAAATGAATCTTAGGTTACCATTTAAAAAATAAATAAATAAGACAATGGTCAAGGCAAAGCAGTGCCTCCCCCTTCCTATATCTTGAGCAATGGTCATTTTGATAAACCATCCAGTCACCTTCCACATTTCAATTGTTTTCCTGTATGTTGTCCACCAAGAGACTATTTTCTCTACCCCTGGCTCCCATCACCTTCCCCTCTAGTCCAACTAACTAATAGCGCACCTTTCCCTGACTGAAACCAGAAAGCCGCAGAGACTCCAGTGGGATTTATTCACAACTCTTCTGGAACTTCGGTCTGGCCGCAGATAGCCTCAGCTCCCAGACAACTTTCACTCTGCTTTTCTCCTATTTCCATACCAGCTACAAGAGAACTTTTTGGAGGGAAGGTGCCTCAGACTATGTGGAATAAAAGAAGCACGGTGGAGCCCCTCCTATTTCGTCCACAGGAAATCCTGACAGTTGACGGCCAAAGCCCTATTTGTCCTGGAACCCTTTTGGGCATGAACTTTGTTTGCAGCCAGCCAAAACTTTGCCCTGGTGGCGATTTGTCAATTCTTCTCGGATCCAAGTGCTATTTTGCCAACATGGGTGCTCGGATCAGAGCTATGTGGGAATGTATATTGTGTGGGGCTCCTGGTGTTTTATTATGTTTTTTGGGGTGCTTTTGTGTTCTTTGTATCCAGGAGATAATTAGTTTAGCGATCAGCAACTGAATTATCTCCCAGACACAGAGGCACCAGGGCAGGATCATTTGCTATTGAATAGGAACCCCATGCTGGGTGTCCATGTATAAATGACTGCAGTGCCTAAAAAAAAAAAAAATCAGATCTACTCCCAACATTAAGTCTCGGCTAATGTATGGGGTGAAAGCTATACAAGCTATTACACTAACTACACTGTAGGGAGCTATAACACTAAGGGAAAGGGAATACTTGGCGGTGATACAACTGTGATCCACCAAAGCCATTCATTAACCCCTTAAGGATGGCGGGCGTTCTATGCCGTAATTTTTGGGGCACTCCTAAACGCTGGGGGACGGCATAGAACGTTTCCGACGTCCTTTGTACTTACCAGATCCCCGCCATTCCCCCGACGGTGGTCGTGAGCCTGGGGTCTGCTTGGGAGCTAAGGCAGGCCTCCTCGATCTGGTCCCCCCCCCCAGCCATGTGACCGTGGGGTCCTCGCGATCACATGGCCGGCTTATGCAGTGCCTGCAGGGGGCCTGTTGAGGAATGTAGAGCATCTCCATGCAGGGCGTTACACATTATACACACATTAAGCTTTTAGAATTATTGACACGTGACATGAATACATTTCATGTAACTGCTGTATACTGCAGTCTTTTTTACGACAATAAAGCTGTCTTTTATTCACCCAAACAATAAGCTTTGGCTAATGTTTAGGGAATGAGCTATTATCACTTCAGAGCTATTCACTAAGGGGGAAAAGAAGTCCTTGACCGTGGTAACTGGGGCACCAGCTCTGAGGTATGTAGGTTTTGTGCCAATTTGGATGGGGATGGCACTACCCCTATGAAGATTCCTGGAGGCTCCAAAAAAAGGACTTACATAGAGTCTTCATAGGGGTAGTGCCATTCCCATCCAAATTGGCACAAAACCTACATACCTCAGTGCCGGGACCAGTAGGCTCAGAACTAGGTGAGCACCCAATTTGCTACGTGATACTTTTATTTTACATTATCACAGACTACACATTGGTCCACCTTTTCCTTATGTTTTGTTTATGAGAACAATTCCAAACGGAAGCGAAAAGGTCGTGCTACTATAAAAGCACATAGGCCTGATTACGGAGCCAGTACCTATACACAGGCTCCTCTAAATGTGAGTGTTCTGTCTGCTATACTATATATTGGATTTCACTTTTAAGTACCATCTGCACTATATTGTACCCTTTGTTCCTTTTACATGTATTTTACACCAAACTTTCAACTAAGAAACATTTGGTAAGTTTGGCCAGTTTTATATTCATTTTAGCACTCCACTTATAGGTGTTAGTCTTTTTACATACACCGTTCTATATTTGTTTTGTGGATAAGAGGATATTTCCACACAAGTGCATAGAGCTGCTTCTTATCTTATTTTATTCACGTTTATTGTTACACACATCCCTCTACTTGGGAGGGCAACTTTGGATTGGTATTCATTGGTTTACTATTATAATTATAGTCTTACTATTTAATGATGCAGCTGTAGGTTAATTGTTTTTTTATTGTGATCTAATTCAATTCACCTGCCTGCTAAGAGAGAGTTCATTTTCAGCATTATAGCCCTGCTTTTTAATTGTTTAACCCCTTAAGGAAACAACTTCTGGAATAAGAGGGAATCATGACGGAATATTTCCGTCATGTATCCTTAAGGGGTTAATTATAATGGTGCAATCTAAATATCTTTGCTCTCAAATTACTTATCCCTATAGTTTTGGAACCCCCTTTGGCTACATGTAAATACCTACCCAAAGGGACGCTTATAGTTCACCTTTCCATCAATAGACTTAAATACATGGGAAATGTATTATCCTTTAAATCTTTCAAATGTTCTATTGGTTTATGAGACAGGCCAGCTCCCAGTTTCAAGCGGTATTCGACTATCATTAATTTTTAATCAATTAACTAATAAAGTTTATGTAAGTTTTATTGGTGAGAGTTTATAACTTCTGCTTTCCTTCGAGGAAGTATTGGTTTCAAGTATAAAACACAATATTTATTTTTTAATTTAAAAAGTAAAAACATACCGCTTAGACCAAAAAACGTTTGTGCAAAAATCCCAAAGTCCAACAATTACAATAGCCCATAATGTGCAAACATAGTTTTCGGTAGAATCTAATAACCTTTTAGATGAAATAATAAAGACTATGTTTTATATTTCATCATAAGTCCTGGAAGTGTTGATTTTTCTACTTTCCATGATGCAGACAGTACCTTTCATCCAATGCCCCTTTCAAAGGTACTTATAATGGCAATAATTTTTTTTCTCCTGGATCAGGGATGTCAAATGAGGAAGTATACTAACTTCTTTTCTATCCAAGAAACATGAAACTGTGCGTGTGGCGTGCATATTCATAACTTCATATGTGTGTTTGGCACACATATGAAGTTATTCACAGTTTTGTGAGCCTATCTTTTGGTAGATTGCTACAAAAAGCAGGCTCACAAACTGTGAATTGGGCTGTGAATACACTCATAGCAGCCGTGATATTAACTAATTAGGCAGCTGCAACTGTGGCTGGAGTCTGCAATTTTAGAAAAGTCTTTTTTTCTTCCTATTACTAGGAATGCCCATTTGTGTAATGCCTTAAAAGCATATTTCGTAATTTTAACTGACAAATACAATGAAGTGCACAAAGAAGTGATAATATACAGCTAGCTACCTGTCATTATAAACACAATGACACCAATGCTAATAATATTTAACCCCTTAAGGACCAAACTTCTGGAATAAAAGGGAATCATGACATGTCACACATGTCATGTGTCATTAAGGGGTTAAAGGGATGCTATTAGCACCATAATCAAAGCAGCTCATTGTCTTTGTGTTTTCTCTCTCTGGTTAGTGTAAAAAATTGTGTTTGCCAAATACCAAAGCTCTCTCTATTACTAAATCCCAACAGCATATTTTTGCTGTCCTAATTTGTAAGAGCTAATACAGACGCCAACATCTGCTATTGCAACCTAAAACCCCAAAATGTATATCTATACGGCACAATGAGAATATTTATTAGCAGGTTTGAATAAAAGTAATTGAAATTGCACCTTAAAATAAGCCAGCTAACGCATAAAATAACATACAGGGCAGCAATCTTTAAATAAATAATGGTAGGATAGATGAGGTCTCCTCAGACTATAATAATCAACGTTTGGAGAGATTTTTACAGGCAGTAGTTCTCTGCGTATATTACCAAACAATGATCACAGGAGGATCATTTGATCATGGCCAGCAAGCTGTTGTATATCTATTTCTTGTCCCACTAGTTAATCACAAGGTTATGAACAAGTTTAATAACAACTGCCCAGTTTCTAATAGAATCCCATTAAGTATTTTTGGATGTTTCATTTTTTTATTTTATTTATTTTTTTAAGTGCTGACTTTTGAGCACTGGTACTGCTCAACTTCGTGTGAGTTAAAACCTTAGCATTACTGACGCTTTTAGTTTAATTTTCATTCTGCATTTATACTGTCTTTTTTTTTTTTTTAATTATGTGTATCTCAACAATAGTGAAATCTGTGTCAGTTTTTAAGTATATATGGTTTTAGGTTTTCCTGTTTGATTACACATAAAATAAAATTAGTATTTGATTAATATTATGTATTACTTTTTCCAGATGGGAGTTATGGAAAATGAATCATTTTTATCAAATATTCCCCAAGCAGCCGATAATACTGTTGGAATGATTTATTTACTATTTGGTAAGTATCAGTCTATGGCCTTAATTTAATACTGTTGGATATGTTTTCCTAAAATTATTTCAAATCATAATAAAAATTAAAATGTTGCTATTTTTTTTATTTTTTATTATAATTTATGGTATATGTCTTGATTTTTTAATATATCGAAAAAGTAATTTGAAAACCTTATCCAAAGATATTAAATAATTTGCAAAGCTTATCCAGCAATATTAAATTGAGGCCTATGGTCCCAAATTACTTTGAATGATATTTTGTCTGTCTATATATCTATGAAATTCTAAAAATATGAAAGAACAGAAAAAAAAAACAGCTTGAGAAATTATGCTGTTAAGGAAGATGTTTAATATTAGAAGTTAGTGCTTGAGTTTTACCCTGTTAGGGAGTTTTTTTTCTCTTTGCAGCTTAGATATGCTAGATGATATCTGTAATTTTGATGTAACTTTGCTGTGATGATAGTGCTAAAAAAAGAGATAGCAAGGTGTAACAAATTCTTCCCAATATATTGGCAAAGACATTGAAAACAATGTGATTTTTTTTTTTTAATTATTTCCTTTCTGCATCCAGGTATGTGTTCTGTGTTTGGGAATAGCCTTCTGTTATATATTTCTTTCACTAAGAGGCAATTGCTGAAACCAGCAGAATACTTCATAGTAAACCTGGCCTTCAGTGACCTTGGAATGACCGTTATCTTGTACCCTCTTGCCATCACATCCAGCTTTTCACACAGGTTGGTTTATACGCTGTGATGTCATACCTGGGTCCCCCAGACTCCATTTCATCATATATCACTGAATCGGAAATGTAATTCCCCATCTGAAATAGAAATTTCAAATTTGTCCCTATTTGGTCAGAATTCATCAGCTGAAGCATCCATCATTGCTCTCATCCAATGAATTCCATCCAAAGACCGATATAATTAATGCTTAAAGCCGAAGTTTCCCCGTCTGGGGACTTTGCAGAATTGGCACTATACTTAGGGGATTGTAATGGTTATTATGATACTTAGACTTTGTTTTTAGTAAGAATTAGTCTCCAATTATTGTGATACACAATAACATATTAATAACATATTGAATATTGTATATTGTTGTGTTAATATAACTGATACATGTATGCTTTGACAGAGAATACTTGAAGGCCCCAAGGCAGATAAGCTGTTTGTTTCTCAGTTGAGAGCACAGTGCTTGCATTTTCCTTGCCTGGATAATTAGTGCCTCAAGAATATTACTTAGTCAGGGCATGCAATGAAAGAAGGTCTCCTTGATAGGACATCTAATGCCTTTAGGTCAATAGGTGGGGGAAGACAACACCTGAAGTTCTCATATATAAGATATACATAGCTTTAAACTCTCCTAGGTAAGAATATAGAATGCTAATGTTCACACAGGCAAATCAAGCAAAGTGAACCACGTAGAATGCCAGAAGGATAAACAATACCTGAATGCATCTAATAAAGGTATACAATGTTTTAAAGCCTAAGCACAAAGTACACTATCTGAAGTGATTGTTTGACATTTTTTTAGACCCTGCATTCCAGAAAATCCACAGTATTATGAATACCCCTAAGCTACGACATTTAGGCACTTTTTTAGATTCCACACAGACAAGCACAGAACTTATTTCTGAAGGGCATAAAAACACTTAATATGAGTAACGTTTGGAAATCATAAAGTGTTTTCCCATGGTTAGGTTGTCCAATGCTTACAGATACACTATTGCAAATTGCAATGTTTCCATTGCAGGACTAAGACAACCTCTGGTTGCTTTCTACCAGTTCCGGGATTTTACTGGACTCTACGTCGCCTGATAAGCTGCCTGCAATGCTAAAAGCATCACTTAAAATAGGCATTTAAATGCCTGTATAGTAATTGTGATTGGTGCAAGCAGGGTTAAATTCCTGGTCACACCAGAAGTCTTAATTTTTATCGGTGGATACGTGGGGCTCTTCTCAGTCAACTGGGGCCATTTTTAGTGGCTGACCTAGGCTGACCAATAGCCTCAACAGCACTGAGTGATCACCACGGTTATTTTCTACAGCAGGCTGGAGGTCAAGGAGGTCTGAATAGACCCTGGCAGAGTCTGTCTTCCTGTCCCCAGCTGATTGTGACTGGTGCTGGGCTTTTCTAGCTGTCCAGCATCGATCACAGTGTAATTGACTGGGAAGCAGGCTGCATTCATAAATACAGGGAGTGTAATTCTGAAAACAGCCAGTAGATGGCGGTAATATCTATCTACTGTTTTAATTAGAAAACCTTTTTTTTGTATCGGAATTTACATTAGCAGGGAGTTTGTTCAGGGTTGGGGTTGTGGGGAGACTAGGGTAGGGTTAGATTTAGGATAGGGTTATGGTTAGCTTTAGGTTAGTCTAGCAAAAAAACAAAAGTATCAATCTTTCATCCAGCATTTCCTACCAGCCACTACTAATACATTAAACACAATGCCTTACCTTCCAATAATGTGTAAAACATTAAATTTTTTGTTTGCTTTCTTTATTTCCAGGTGGATATATGGAAGACATGTCTGCCTGTTTTATGCATTCTGTGGTGTATTGTTTGGGATTTGTAGCCTATCCACAGTCACATTATTGAGTATAGTGTGTTGTGTCAAAGTTTGCTTCCCAGCATACGGTAAGCTCTTTTGTTCACGATAAGCATTGTCAAAGATGTACTGTACAAAAAAAAAAAAAAAAAGCAATTTGAGCTTTTTCACTTGGATATTTTATCACCAATTGCTGCTGAAATTAAAAGTAATTTGTTTACACATTTATTGAAATTTACTGGATAATGTACATATTATTTGTGTCCTACTACTTCAGATACACCAGATTTGTATTCCCTGCATCTCCTGAGTAGAACAATACTCTACATGTAAGCCTATGCCAGATTGTTGGAGAATTCATAGGGTCGTGTTGGAGACTTGCCATCGTTTTGAAATATATCATTGCTCACTCCCAATAGACACTATTTGGTGAAGTAACACTTTCTATGTCACCAACATTGACACTATGTCTAAACACATCTACTAACCCTTACCCTTTTTAACCCTAACATTGTCTAAGCCTAGCAAGATCTAGGCCTAGCTTGATAGCCAGGCACAGTAAGTACAAACTTAAACTGACAGTTAAAGCTTGTCCTCAAAACCATAGGTTCCCTGGATAATCAGACATCTTGGGGGCCAAACAATCACTTTTAGGGGATGACAATCTCCCATGCACCACAACAATTCCTGGTGTTGTTGGGAATCCTGCTCATACATCCCCTCCTATATTAGGCTGGATCCATGTTGGTAACTGACCTGTCTGCTAGTGCTGTTTTATAGTGTATTGATAATGCTAGTGGATGAAAGGTATTTAATGAATCCATTCTGTTCTATATGGACATTGCAGCACAAGCATATGTGTTCCTTTAACTCTTCCTGATGTTAGGACAGTACACGCTGTCCTTCACAGAGTGGGCTTAAATGCATGTAAGATCGCAAGTAGATTTGGTGTGAGCAGGGTTAAATCTCTGCTCACACCAGTAAGTCCCATGTATCAATAGATTAGGGTAGGGTTAGATTTAGGGTAGGGTTAAAGTTAGTGTTAGGGTAGGAATATGGCTATCTGTAGGATTAGGGTTAGTGTTAGGGTAAGGTAAGGGCTAATGCTGGGTTTGGGTTAATGTGGTTTTAGGGCTGGGGATAGTGTAAGGTTAAGATTAGGGTAGATATATTGTTAGAGTTTGTGTAAGCAATAGGTAAGGGATATGGTTGTTATAGCGTTAGTCTGGGGTTTGGTATAGGATTAGCATTAATTACAAAAAAAAATATTTAGATCCTAGACATATTAGACATTTAACAATCTGGAATGATATATGAATCTATTTAGACTTCTTTATATTTAGTTGCACTGGATGTGTAAAAAAAAGAGGTGGAACAGAACTAAGGTAAAAAGTTAGCGATAGGTTAACCCCAAATCTGTGCCTTCACGGGCACCTAAATGTCTGCTAAAAATATACCTAACTGTGAAACCACCCAATAACTGTTTGTTATAAATAAGACCCTAGATCTGTGCCTTCAAGGACACCTATGAGCTGCCAATTAGAAGAATCGCTAGAACCTAATAGCTACTATCAATACAGAAAAGTTAAAGATGATACACCCTTTGCCTGCTAGCCTCCATAATCGAAGTGCCAAGATAGAATGAGTACGAGTTGTCAGATAATATTAATATAAGTATAGAGCGGCAGTGTCTGTTAGCAGGGTAGGGGTTTGACCTGAGCCCCGACGCGCGTTTCACCAGCAAGCGGCTCTTCAAGTGGGAACCCACGTCCCAGGCTTTTGATGCCTTTTTCAATATACAAAAATTGTACCAACAGCAGATTAGAAGCTTCTGGGAACTTACCAGTCTAAAACAATATATCCAACAATATATATCCAACAATATATATCCAACAAAAACTCATTCCCAGAGGTCTCCGTCCAGATATACTTCTACCTGATAAAATCCAAATGGAGGAACAGTTGAGTGAACGGAACACCATTTTACTTGACTGCTCCTTACGTTTAATGGACTTTGGTTAAACTTGAATCTACCCATCTAGAAGATACTAATCACAAGCTACAAAACAAAATTACTCAGATCAAAAGTTTAAAGTCTGACAATCTGTATGTGCCTATGGAAACTAAATTACAAAAGAACATTGAAAACTATAGACAAAACATCAAAGTCAAAAACACACAAAATTCCAGAGGGACTTTAAAGATAAACATAAATACTGTAAATGACAAAATATCTTTAGGAGCTCTTCTGGTGAGACTGGATGGTCGGACACTGACAGTAGCTCCTCAGGTTATCAGAGACCTACTGGAAATAGAGGGTCCTATCAAAAGAGGCAAACTTCACAATCTCCAGCTAATAGAAGCATCCTTAAACATACGGACAAAACTGTATCTATTCTGGACAAATCAATTACCTCAGACACAGACAACACAAGCATTCAATCCACATCCTCCTCCCCTTTTTTAGAACAGTAACCCCCTCGACATCGGAGGGGGAGGCTGAGGGACAGAGACAGATGGGCATACAAGACTCAGGATCAAACTCGAAAATTCTAGCATCTAACAGAATAATTATTCTTTCAGATTTTGTTTTACAGCCACGCCATACATCTCTGTTGGGCAGGGGTTTATCTTTTGTCCCTACACCCTCATAGAACAAATTCAATTGGCCCAAAAGATATTATTATTATTATTATTTTATTATTTATATAGCGCCATCAGATTCCGTAGCGCTGTACAATGGGTGGACTAACAGACATGTAATTGTAACCAGACAACTGGACGTACAGAAACAGAAAGGTGGAGGGCCCTGCTCAATGAGCTTACATTCTAAAGGGACTGGGGTATAGTGACACAAAGGGTAAAAGTAGGTTGTGTCACAGGTGTCGGTGCGGTGCCCGGGACCCAGACACTGTCCAGGCGGTGGTGCGAGGACCGGGACCCAGTATGCCTGATGTTCAGAGTAGGAGTCACAGTGTGGAGATAGATTAGCAGGGTCTGGTGCAGGGTAACTGCACGCCCCCTGGTGTTGAGCGTTTGTGCAGCCACATACCAGAACCCTGATTCAGCTTTTGCGGATCCCAAGAACTAGGAGCAGGAATTAAGCAGACCTCCTAGAGCTGAATAGGGAGGGTCTGCAGCAGGAATGTATCCAGTACAGAAACAAGGCAAGGCTAGGAAAGGCACCAAGCATGAAAAACAAGACAGAACTAATAGAACCCAAAACCAGAGAAGGATAGGAAGCTTAACCCAGAACATGTACACAATACATTAAGGAAACATAGACATAGCATGGGCAGGACAGGACTGTACATGGACTAGGAATACAAACTAAAACAAGACAAGATATGATAGGTAAAACAAGAGGAGAAATAACTAAGTACTATATATGAAAAGCATGGGGATCTAGTCACATTATATGATCATACATTGCATAAGCCTGCCAACAACGCCAATGTACCCCATGTCTGGCAGGTCCTACTCTGCCTAATGCAAGCTAAACCAACCAAAGAAAACACACATAGTACTTACCTGCAAGAAAGGGTAGGAGACTTGGTAGAGTATAGGTAGAGAACAGTAGGGGACCAAGGACAGAACCTTGGGGGATGCCAACAAAAAGTGGTTGAGGATAAGAGGCAGAGCCAGAGAAAGAAGCACTGAAAGAGCACCAGGAGAGAGCAGTATCCCGTAGACCAAAATTATGGAGAATGCAGAGAAGCTGTTGATGATCAGCAGTGTCAAAGGCAGCAGAAAGATCAAGGAGAATTAGGATAGAGTATTGGCAGTGAGATTTAGCAGCAATGAAATCATTGAATACTTTGGTCACAGCTGTTTCGACAGAATGACCAGCACGGAATCCAGACTGAAGGGGGTCAAGCAGAGAGTTGGATTTGAGAAAGTCAGTCAGTCTGGTGTACACAACTCTATCGAGGATCTTGGAGGCAAATGGCAGTAGTGAGATAGGGCGGTAGTTGGATGGGGAGTTGGGGTCAATGCTGGGCTTTTTCAGAATTGAGGTTACAATTGCATGTTTCAAGGGTGAGGGAAATGTGCCAGAGGAAAGGGAGAGATTGAAAATTTTAGTGAGAGGGACTTGGTTTAATTGGTTTAATTGTTATTACTTATCGATACAACATATCTCTGGTGTGGCAATTTAGCAGTGTATGCCTATTTATAATCCTAGTGGATTTACCACTCAGATTCCTCTGTACATATAGCAATTGTATAGCGATAATTTCTTACTATTCTTCTCCCCATGACCTTTAATTATTTCCATTTTAATTGAACCTATTAAATGTTATATTTTAACAATTTTGTCTATATTAGTGGTACTATTAGGGCAGATAACTTTTTCTGTTTTCTATTTACAATTCTCTCCAAGGGTTATCCCCTAGTGTATGCCCTATATACTCTTAATACAGTATTTAGCTTCCACCTGTTCTCTTTTTTTGTCCTTTGATATCACCTTTTAGGCTCTCTAGCTCATTTTTTTTTTATCTTTCCAGTATTACCAGAAAATTTATTTTGGTGACAAAGCCAATATTTTAGGCATATTTTCAATGATTTAATTAAATGTTTATAATTTATTTGTTTCCACTTTTTGGTTTTGGTCTTACATAGCCTATGTCCTCTTCAACCTATCGTTTCTGTACGTTTTATTGTAATTGTCCTATTTATAGTTAAATCCCCCCTCATAATATTGTAAAGCGCTACGGAATCTGTTGGCGCTATATAAATGATAATAATAATATTAATAATAATAATATGCCAAACACTCCAGTTCTTTTCAATGTTATGTAGGTCACAGTCTAGGGCTGCAAAACAAAAGAGATTTAACTCCTAAATGGCAGAGAACAGACCAGGGTGCAGGACCATGATCTCTATATCACAACTAGTGATGTCCCAAACAGTTCGCTGGCGAATAGTTCCTGGCGAACATAGCGTGTTCGCGTTCGCCATGGATGGCGAATATATGCGATGTTCGGTCCACCCCCTATTAATTTACTAATACTAAGTAAAAATTACTTAGTATTAGTAAATTGTGCCCCTACTCGCAATACCACGAGTAGGGCCATGTCTATTAAACAGTGAGCAGCCTATGGCTGCTCACTGTTAAAAAAAAAAAGGGTCCCCCCCCGGTGGGGGCCCTAAATATTAATAGGGGGGGACCTATTGTCCCCCCACCGGCCCCCACCCCTGAGCGGTGGGTGGGGGCCCTAAAATGAACAATAAGGGGGGGACCTATTGTCCCCCCCGGCCCCACCCCTGAGCGGTGGGTGGGGGCCCTAAAATGAAAAATAAGGGGGGGCCATATTGATAATGAGGGGGGCCCTACTGCCCCCCCTGGCCCCCACCCCTGCGCGGTGGGTGGGGGCCATATTGATAATGAGGGGGGGACCTACTGTCCACCCTCCCTCCGGCACCCACCCCTGGGGGGGGGGTGGGGTCCATAAGCCCCTAGTCACCCACCCCCCCAAATAAAAAGTCCCTACCTACCCCCCTCACCCTAAAAAATAGTGAGGGGGGAATAAAATAAAATTAAACTTACCAAACTTAGGTTCCCCCCCCCCCTCATTATCAATATGGCCCCCACCCGCCGTGCAGGGGTGGGGGCCGGGGGGGACAATAGGTCCCCCCCTTATTGTTCATTTTAGGGCCCCCACCCACCGCTCAGGGGTGGGGGCCGGGGGGGGACAATAGGTCCCCCCCTTATTGTTATTAGGGCCCCCACCCACCGCTCAGGGGTGGGGGCCGGGGGGAACAGTAGGTCCCCCCCCTTATTGTTATTTTTAGGGCCCCCACCCACCGCTCAGGGGTGGGGGCTGGGGGGGACAATAGGTCCCCCCCTTATTGTTATTAGGGCCCCCACCCACCGCTCAGGGGTGGGGACCGGGGGGGACAGTAGGTCCCCCCCTTATTGTTATTTTTAGGGCCCCACCCGCCGCACAGGGGTGGGGGCCGGAGAGGGGGAGGACTGTAGGTCCCCCCCTCATTATCTTTATGGCCCCCACCCGCCAGAAAGAGTCCCTGTGGGTTTTAAAATTCGCCTGCCTATTGAAGTCTATGGCGGTTTGCCCGGTTCGCGAACATTTGCGGAAGTTCGCGTTCGCGGTTCGCGAACTGAAAATTTCATGTTCGCAACATCACTAATCACAACCAGCTAAAGATATTTTGTTGCTTTCCCTGTAAGAAATGTGAAATTAAACCAACATCCCAAAACCTATTGTGTCGTAAATTGTATTTGTGCTATTTCGTTGGCTGTGTTTCTTAATGCCCACTCTCTTTTAATCGATACTTTAGTTATACAAACAAATAATTTAAGTTTGGAAGAGTAAAACAAGAAGCAAATGAGGATTAAGATGCATATCGTATCCTAGTTACGTATAACACAGGATGCATGCAGTGCAAACGTGAACATGCTGAACATTATGATCAAGAAAATATTAAATACTACTTTAACAATTATAATATAAGAGCAAATAAAGGTAATACTGTATGTTCATCATTTGTAAAATCATTGTTTAGATGACACTAATGAAATAAAATAGCCAGCTAGTTAAGAAACTTTGAACAATGCAAAAAGGCACAAAGTAATAAACAATATAAAATTTGTTTTGGGGAAATATGTATAGCTCAGTGAAGGAACTACAGTGGTTGCTGAGGCTGCAAGTCTGACCGGACCCCCTGTGTCCCCCTGCCTTGGGGGTCCTGGAGCTGGCCACCTTAGGACCCCCTGAGGAAAAGGGCTGTGTGCAAAGAGAGTAGGCTGCGTGGGAGTGCTGATCTCTGTGCTCTTCTTACTCTGCATCCTCGCGGTTCTACAGTGATGCCAGGAGCCGGAATATGACATCATTTTGGCCCAGTAATCACTAAACGGTGCATGAGGGAACAGAGCAAGAAAATGACAAGATCACAGCAGCCACTCTGGACCCCAGGAGTGGTCCCTTAGGGAAAGGATCCACTCTAGCTCTTCCAAAGGCTGAGTGTCTGTCAGTGAATTCTCATGCATGTGCGAGAGTACAGCAGTGACACAGGATGGAATAAAATTAATATCAATTTAGAAGAACTGAAAATTTCATTGGGCACAAGCCTAATTACTACATAACTGATTATGATCAAGGCCTCCATTGGTAGGGTGTAGAAAGAACACTCCAGGCACAATAACCACTACAGCTCATAGTACTGCCAGGTGCATTCTCAATTCAAAACAGATGTGGGATTTTGTCTCTTAGATATTTATAAATACATATCACAAATATGTTGTAAAATATATTTTAATTTCTGTCTTTCAGGAAATAGATTTGGCCACAAGTTGGGATGCATCCTTGTCACTTGTGCATGGGTTTATGCAGCTATATTTGCCTTCTTACCTCTAATTCACTTGGGAGAATATGGGCTTGAGCCGTATGGGACAGCTTGCTGTATTGACTGGAAGTCTTCTAATATAAACAGAGTAGCAAAGTACTACACAATAGCTCTGTTTGTAGTTTGTTTCATTATCCCATGTGGGATCATCATTACCTCTTTTACACTTATACTGATAACTGTCAAGGAATCCCGAAAAGCTGTGGCACTGCATGGCGCTATTCCCACCAGGATGAGCAACGTCCAAACCATCATAATCAAGGTATTACATTCAGTTATAATACAGAACTGGGGCAGGCAACTATCGGCACTCCAAATGTTGTTGACTACTCTTACAGCCATATTGCTGGCAAAGCATCAGGGGAGATGTAGTCAACAGCATGTGATGTAGCACTATATAGTCAACAGTTGGTAAAAGAATTACTGCAGTACCAAATATTTTTTCATAAATGCTGCCAATTTTGTCAGTGCTTGAGGGCGTACCCTCCACTTGTGTGGTACTTCCTGCTCCATTGGCTGGGGCCTCATTTTGTAAACTGCACGGCTGTAAAGTACCGAACTGGACTCCGAGCTCGTAGTGCAAAAGTAACGTGTCAGCAGGTACATTTGCAGCACATGTGTATGTTTTGTGCCCTGGTAGTTGGTGAATATCCACTGATATTTGTTGGAATGTGCTCTAGATTGTAGGAGCTGCTATAGCACATACCCAAATGTGATGGCAAACACAATCCACATGCTGACTTTTATTTTATTTTATTTAACAAAGTATTTAATGCCTTTCACTAAGGTTAGTAGGCAATGACAGCACAAAAACATTGTAAAACTTGCCATGAAGTAACTTGGTGAAAATGCAGGGTTTTTTTTGTAATCAAGGAAAACTTCATTGTAAACCCTTTCCAGATTTTGGAAAGCATGTTAATATTGCACAATGTTAGATTTATGAAATCTAACCTTAGATTGGATACCTTCTTGCATTATAGTGATGGCTTTATCTATTTTTAATTGTAATGTCGTATTTATCTAATAAACACTATTTCTGTTTTATGCAGTTAAGCATCGCTGTGTGCATTGGATTCTTCACAGCTTGGAGCCCATATGCAATAATTTCCATGTGGGCCACTTTTGGATCTATCGATATCATACCACCTTTGGCATTTGCAGTACCCTCTGTGTTTGCAAAATCTTCAGCAATTTACAATCCAATTATTTACCTCCTATTGAAGCCCAACTTCCGAGATATTCTTGGCCAACAATTGGTTGCTCTGTGGGAGCTTTGTACACCGTGCTTTGTTTGCCTGAAGCCTCTCCTTTCCTGCCACATTATGGCACTGCACCACAAACTCTTCAAAAAGGAAAATAAGGCAATAAGTCATTCAAAAAAGTCAGTTGGAGGCTATTCCTTTAACACATGTGAAACATGCAAAGATACTTTTGAATACTTCAAACATTACCCGAAATGCTGTAGTACACAGTATAGTTTTGGTTCAGAGTTGAGGCAACAAGATGAAACCAAAAATGCTAAAAATTCCATAAGGGTTATTGTACAAGGACATAATATAGCAGATACTGATAACTTTGAAATTACTTTAGAAGTAATACCAGAGTGCAGTACTTATTAAAAAAGGTAAAGAAAACATATAGTGGTTCATTGTGGATGGGCCATTAACAATCAGGGTTTGGTCAGGAATGGGTGCTGATCACAACAGCAACCACCATCAGTATGCAAATAAACCAATATGCAAAGAAACCACAATACACATCAATGAAACAAGTGTATTAGATGCAAAAACACAAAGACAGAACCAGTAACTCAATACAAAGGCTCCTGGATGCAGGGAGCAGGGCCTCTGGATCTCAGGAACATTAGACTCTAAGAGTTTACACAGAATAGCAGGTAACTCTGGAACAATGGATTAGCACAGGAAACAGCTAGCTCTAGAACATTAAGGGTGAGTCTAAACTAAATTGGTAGGAGATAATTACAAGTTAGGACTAGCTGGGGACAGAGTCAGACCTCTTTAGTCTGGGTGCATCAGCATCACAGCAACACGGTCACACTGAGAGGTACTTCACCAGACTGAAAAGTATCTGAAAACTAGTGAGGTAAATATAGAATCGTGACACTGAAACAATTACCATTCCACGATTCCAATAGCAATTGTTACCATTAGGATCAGAGAATGACGGCTCTATACATTATTATTATTATTATTATTATTATATAGTGCCCAAAATTTTGTAGCGCTTTACAATGGGTGGACTTACAAATGTAATTGTAACCAGACAAGTTTGACGCACAGGAACAGCGAGGTTGAGGGCCCTTGTCAATGAGCTTACATGCTAGAAGGAGTGGGCTAGTGTGACACAAAAGGTAAGGATAGAATTACGGAAGTAGATTGGTAGAATAGTATTCACTGAAGACTTAGTGTGTCGTTTTTTTGTTTTTAATGGCAGTTGTTGGAGAGGAATCAGTTGGGAGCCATTAACAGTTTAATAGATGCGCTTTTGTGAAAATTGAGTTTTTTATGAATTGGATCGAAGGAGTGGAATCTGGGTGACCATCAAATGAAAAAGGGAAGGTAGTTCCACAGGAAGGTGAGCATTACAGGTGGGAGCATGAACAGAGGATAGACGTAGGTCTTTAGAAGAGCGTAGGGGGCCTAGACAGGACGTACTTGTGTATTAGGGAGGATAAGTAGGTCGGGAGTAGCATTATGTAGAGATTTAAAAGCAAGAACCAGAATTTTAAATGGAGCCCTATATCTTACAGGAAGCCAATGCAGGGACTGACAGAGGGGTGAGGCGTTGGAGGTGCGGGCGGACAGGAAGATGAGCCTCGCCGCCGCATTCATTTTAGACTGTAATGGGGCAAGTTGGGAGCACGTAAGTGCATGGACAGTGGCATGAACCAGCACCTTAGCCGCAAGTGGCGTTAAGTAGGGGCAGATGCATGCAATGTTTTTAGAGATGGAAGCGGCAGGATTTGGTGATCGACTGGACATGAGGGGTGAAGGAGAGGTCGGAGTCAAAGAGAACATCTAGGCAGCGAACCTGCGTGGTGGAGCTGATGGTAGCACCATTAACGTGGAAGGAGACAGAAACGGGAGTAACCACACTTGAAGGAGGAAAGACCATAAGTTCTGTTTTACACAAGTTGAGCTTAAGGAAGTGGGTAGCCATCTAGTTAGAAATAGCAGAGAGGCAGTCAGAGACACTAGTCAAGAGAGGCGGAGATAGATCAGGAGAGGACAGGTAGATTTGTGTGTCATCCGCATAGAAGTGGTATTGGAAGCCAAAGGAGCTCATGAGTTTACCAAGAGAGGCAGTACAGATTGAGAACAGTAGGGGACCAAGGACTGACACCAACAGAGAGGGGTTGGGAGGAAGCAGGGAAAGAAACACTAAAAGAACGCTGAGAGAGGTAGGAGGAGCACCAGGAGAGAGAGCAATATCTTGTAGACTGAGTTTACAGTGGATGGGAAAAAGTTGTTGATGATCAGCAGTGTCCAAAGCAGCGGAAAGGTCAAGGAGAATTACGATAAAATAGTGACCATGAGATTTTGCAGCGAGTATATGGTTGGATACTTTGGTCAGAGCCTTTTACACAGAGTGCTGAGCGTGGAAACCATACTGAAGTGGGTCGAGCAGAGAGTTGGGCTAAAGGAAGTCTGTCAATCTCACATACACAAGTCTTTGAAGGATCTTGGATGCAAAAGGCAGTAGCGAGATAAGGCAGTAGTTGGACGGGGAGTTAGGTTCAAGGTTGGGCTTTTATAGAATCGGCGTTACAGTTGTGTGTTTGAAGGGTGATGGAAATATACCAGAGGAGAGGGAGAGATTGAGAATTTTAGTGAGAGGCAGAGCAAGGGAAGGTGAGAGTGTACGGAAGAGATGCGAGGGAATAGGACAAAGGGAGCAGGTGGTGGGGCGGGAGGACTGGAGCAGAGTAGAAACCTCTTCTGCTGTAGTGGGTGCGAATGAACATAGAACAGCAGAGGGAGTGAGGTTGTGGGAAGTATTGTAAGGTTAAGGAGAGAGTCTAGAGATCTCTTCCTTGATTGTAGAGATCTTGTCAGTGAAGTGAGTTGCAAAGTTTGTGGCAGTTAAGTTGGTAGGAGGAAGGGGAGCAACAGGGTGGAGAAGAGAGTTAAAAGTGTGAAATAGTAATTTGGGTTCATGGGAGAGTGTGGTTATGAGCATATTGAAGAAATTTACAATTGCAGAGGAAAGAACCAAGCTGTAGAAGCGCAGCATAAATTCATAGTGGAGAAAGTCAGATGCGGAGTGAGACTTTCTCCAGCAGCATTCAGCAGTTCTGGAGCATTTTTAAAGTTATCAAGTCAGCTTGGGAGTCAATTGGGAGTTGGGGGCGCTTGTTGCATATAAATGTAGGAAGTGCCATGATGTCTAGTTGAGAGGGTGGAATTTTAGAAGGAGGTTGCAGAACTAGGGCAGGTGAGGTTTGAGATAGGTAAAAGGAGAGTTTGGAGGTTAGTGGCGAATTGCTCTAAGTCAAGACATTGGAGGTTTCATAAATACTACATAACACTAACGCTTCAGTGAGCACAATCCTTCTGAAGAAGAGTTAACCACATGGAATCATCAGATACTTGAAAAACACCAACACACTGTACTGCACAAATGGAAGATAATAGGTTAATGAGACCAGTGTCACCTGTTAGCAACATCAATGACCTTGGCTGCCTGACCTTCAACCCGATGTATAGACAAAATCCCCGCAAAAGCACTATTTATTTTGTCAATAAAAAGGAACCGTTGTTACAAATCGCCTGTTACTTTGTTTTCAAATTATAGTAAAAGGTCATTGTCCAAAAGAGGACGCTTATAAGTGGGTATATATTAAAAATCTTTTTCAAAATCCACAATAAATATAGAAAAATATGTTAAAATTGTAGCAGGTAAGCAACACACATTGTGCAGTCATACTAGTTAAAAATGGGGGGAAAGCGAGATACTACATATCAAGGAGCGGATGAGTTTTGTGATTCCTCACGCATTTCCACTCTCTCTCCCTGACCTGCTGCGCTGTCTCCCTGTCCTGGGGTGCTGTGCTTTTTGGCAGGCTCAGTACACTGGAATGAATGTGAGCAGTTATTGGGTAAGTTTGTAGAGTTGAGTGTCTCTTTAAAATCTCTGCAATGAGTAAATCATTTTTAATGAAATAGTATTTCGATATGGATGTAATCTCTGCCTACCATTTGTGACTATGAAACAATTTTGTGTAAGTCTAATTTTAATTAAACTGTATCTCTATATTTAAGAGATGCCTGGATGTATGTACGAGGCCTTTTCGTTCATGGATCAAGGGAGGATCACTTTGAGATTTTATTAAATTCTGATCTGGGAGTGAGTTAATGTGTACTGAAGATTCTCCCTCATTACCTCTGCAACATAAAACACCATTTTCAGCAACTGTAAAGGGACACCAGACACCAGAACACGAATAGCGTGTCCTCCCAGGCTGAGCACTGTAAATGCTGTTTTTTTTCTCTCTTGCCTAACAGCACCTCTAGAGGGACTTCCTGGGTTTGGTCCTGCAAAAAAGCTAAATCAGTGCATCTCTGTGATGCAATGATTCTTATGATCTATACACCAAAACTGCTTCATTAAGCTAAAGTGGGTTTTGTGACTATAGAATACCTTTAACTCTTCTATCACATCTAACAGAGCAATGTCTATGCTCTGCTTAATGTTCCAGCAATGTGATAAATTTTGGACTTTAGTTTGAGATTTAAAGGGATCCTATAGTGCCAGGAAAACAAAGCCGTTTTCCTGGCATAAAATGTTTCTAAGGAGCCCCTGTCCCTCGCGCCCCATCCCTCGGTACTCGGTAATTCGTTACTCAGTAAAACCCCTTCAGTCACTTACCTGCACCAGCACCAATGTCCCCTCAGCTCTGGGTCAGGCTATGCCCACTCTCCTCCCCTGCCGACATCAGGCGGCGAGGTAGACCTAATGAGCATGTGCGGTAATGGTTGCGCTCACATAAGGATTTCCTCATAGGAAAGCATTATTCAATGCTTTTCTATGGGGAAAATCTGACACTGGAAGTCCTCATGCAGAGCGTGAGGACGTCCAGAATCAGATAACTGACCAGAGTTCTGCTTCGATTCTGAAAGCCCTCTAGTGGTTAGTGGCTGTCTGGTATGTTTAACATTGAAGTACTAGGTGCAATAGGGACACAGCACCCAGACCACTTCAATTAGCTGAAGTGTTCTGGGTCCCTACAGTGTCCCTTTAAAGCTCTTTGCATTGGTTGCCTACTTTTTTCATTTAAACTATATTTTATGTCAATGTTATTCACTTCTACACATCAGCTTAGATAAATAGTTATACAATGTAGTGAAGTACAGTTTAGTGTAATACATTTTTTAAAGTTACCATTACCTGAAAAATATTTTTAAACACAAAAGTTATTGCTGATTCTGCAGCTCTTACTTGTTTATAAAGTTGTTAGAAAAAACGCATGTTACAATCCGTCACTGAGCTAGACTACCAGGAAGTAGCGGGACTGGTTGTCTGCTTGACAGCCGTAGGGGGAGGAGTGTAACAAGGTTAATTTTAAAATTGTAGTTGTTCTGGTGACTATAGTGTCCTT